AGCCCAGCGCCAGCGGCCCCACCAGCGGGCGCGCCACCTGCGGGCAGAAGCTCATGGCCACCGCCTGCTGCAGGGTGGCGATGGCCGAGGTGACCTGCGGCGGCGGCGGCGGCGGGAAGAGGCCGACGCGCTGGCCCAGCTCGGCCTGCTGGACCATCTCGCGGTCGTACTTGACGATCTCCTGGATGATGGCGTTCTCCTGGTTGTTGAACACGCCCGAGCTGAGATCGTGCTGCACCTTGTGCAACAGGATGGAGTTCTTCTTGCCTGCAGAGGGCGGGCACGGGAAGGGCATCAGCTGGGCACTGCCCGGTGCCGCCGTGCAGACCGGGAGCGGGGGTGGGGAAACTTCGAAGAGTACCTGCAGCCCAGGGCACCTACTGTGTGCAGGCTGAGCACCTGCTGTGCAGACCTAGGAGCTGTATAGCCAAGCCTACACGGGGCGCTCCCTTCCTGCCCACAGAGAGCGGCTGTCAGGTTACTGCTGTGTCCAGGTCCACACAGAGCACCTTCTCTGCCAGTAGTGACCATGTAGTGAGCACCTGTTGGGTACAGCTAGCTCACAAGGCCCTGCTTATACTTTTAAGTTCTGTGGTCACACAGAACAAAGATCAGACAGTGCACTGTCAGAGGTAAGCATGTGCTGAGCACTTTCTGTATACTGTTCCTCCAACCCCTCCCCACCCCCACTGCTTCAGCAGCAAGTGTTCCAGCGTCAGCGCTCCCTGTCCCCTATGCCACACATGCCTGACAAGCCAGAGCACCACTATTCTGGATGCTGCCCTTGACGAGCCCCTTCCCGCATACATACATCTAGAACCTTCTAGGGCTCCCTAGAGCTCCTGGTTACCTCTGACTCTGTGCTTGGGGTCCCATTCTGCCTTCCTCCTCCAGGAAGGCCGCTTTCCCCCCTCAGCATCTGCCTGTACGATTGCTAACAGCACTCCAGTCGCCTGCGTCTGCCTCTGTATCCTGGCAGTGTCCTTTGCTCTGGGCTGCACCCCCTCTTCTCTCTTGGCACACAACCTGGTTATGATAGGACACCCAGCAGGTGCTGCAGGTGCTCAACAAGCATTTGCCAACACCCTGATGGACCCATCGTCTTTTTCTTGGGGAAACTGGTGTTGCATGGAGCCAGAACACAGCCTGTCTGGAGTGTGAAGGGATCTTTAGGGGAGGCTGCGCCCCTACCCACCCACCCACCCTCCTGAGGAGGCCGCAGGACGCACCGATGCGGTCCAGGCGGTCGATGGCCACGGTCTCGAAGGCACGCCGCATCATGGGGTATTCCTCCAGCACCTCATTGAAGTTGTCCACGCTCAGTGAGTAGAGGCGGCAGTAGGTGTCAGCACGCACGCTGGCTGTGCGTCGGCCCCGTGTGAGCAGGCAGATCTCTGCATGACCCAGAGTGGCCTGCTCAGACCTGCTGCCTCCCTTTCCCAGGCCTCCCAGCCAATCACCCCAGTGGTGTGTGTGTGTGTGTGTGTGCACGTGTGCGCGCATGTGTGCACATGTCAGTCCCAGGGCTTGAACTCAGGGCCTGAGTGCTGTCCTTTTTTTGCTCAAGGCTGGCATTCTAACACTTGAGTCACAGCGCCACTTGCAACTTTTTGGGGATTCACTGGAAATAAGAGTCTCATGGACTTTACTGCCCGGGCTGACTTCAAACTACAATCCTCAGATCTCAGCTTCCTGGTGAACTAGGGTTACGAGCATGAGCCCCTACACCCAGCTAGCCTCAGCAGCTTTCTCGGAACTAGTGCTGCCTGGGGCCATGCCTACCTTTTTTGGGTTTCACCCTCCTGGGGGCACCCATCCCGCCCTGGGGAGCTCACCACCAAAGTAGGAGCCATCAGACAGCTTCATCTCCTTGTTGCCCTTGGTGAGCACGCTGACCACCCCGTGTTGGATGAAGTACATCTTCTTGCCAATGGTGCCCTCTCGGATGATATAGTCGCCTGGCTGGAAGACCTCGAACTTGAGTTTGGTCAGCATAGCCGTGACAAAGTTGGGATCAGCATTGGCAAATAGTGGCATAGAGGCCACCAGCTTCCGGCAGTTGAAGTTGACAATTTCCTGCAGGGCAGGAGAGAGGGTGACCTCAGCTGGGGCTTCCATCTCCTCCTTGGTGACACAGATTTAGCATGGTGCCCAGGCAACCAGCACCCTACTTTCTTAGGCTACAGGTGGGGTCAGCAAAGGCAGGAACCAGGACAGAGGCCTGCGGGTCCCTACACTTGGCACACTGACCATACAGTACAGGAGAAAGTGACTAGAGCCCCAACAGCTGAGAAAGAAAAATGGAAGTGTCTGTAGATAATGTGGCCACTTAGGAAACCCCACAGTATGGAAGGAGATCAGAGCATGAGGGAACTTGGGGCAGAGAAAGGAATAGAACTCAGTGCAGGGCTTCCGTGGAGCTTAGGGCTGAGCAGAGGCACCCGGTTCGTCCCTAGCTCTGTCAATCAAAATCCAGTAAGAGCCAAGGAACCAGCTGAGCTTGGTAGTGCACATGTGTACAATCCCAGAATCTGGAGAGTAGAAAGACTGAAGCAGGGCTGGGAAGGTAGCTCGGTGGTAGAGTGCTTGCCTTGCATGTATGAGGACCTGGGTTCGATTCCTCAGCACCACATAAGCAGAAAAAGAAAAGCTGGAAGTGGTGCTGTGGTTCAAGTGATAGAGCGCTAGCCTTGAAGTGAAGAGCTGAGGGACAGCGCCCAGGCCTAGAGTTCAGGCCCACGACCGGACCCAAAAAAAGAAAGAAAGATTGAAGCATTTGAGGCTAGCCCGGGTGATAGAGCGAAAGACTCTTGTCTCAAAAGCAAGAGCAAATGCAAGCCAGGCTCCAGCTATTTAGGAGGCTTGAGATCTGAAAATTGTGGTTCAAAGCCAGCCTGGGCAAGAAAGTCAGTGGGACTCTTGTCTCCAATGAACCACCAAAAAGCCAGACATGGAACTGTGGCTCAAATATTACAATTGTAGTCTTGAACAAAAAATGTATTGGGGGCCAGGCATGGGTGACTCACGCCTGTAATCCTAGCTTCTCAGGAGGCTGAGATCTGAGGATCACGATTCAAAGCCAGCCTGGGCAGGAAAGTCTGTGAGACTCTTATCTCCAATAAACCACTCGAAAACCGGAAGTAGTGCTGTGGCTGAAGAGGTAGAGCAAAAAAAAAAAAAAAAAAGTATCGGGGGCAGAGCCCAAGCCCTGAGTTCAAGCCTCAGAACCAGAAAAACAACAACAACAACAAACTCCAATGAGGGGCTGGGAAGGTGGCTTAGTGGTAGAGCGCTTGCCTTGCATGCCTGAGGCCCTGGGTTTGATTCCTTAGCACCACATAAGCAAAAAGAAAAAAGCTGAAAGTGGCGCTGTGGCTCAAGTGGTAGAGTGCTAACCTTGAGCTGAAGAGCTGAGGGACAGCCCCCAGGCCCAGGGTTCAGGCCCATGACTGGACCAAAAAAAAAAAAACAACTCCAGTGACCTAGAGTAATCATTCTTGGCAACAGAGCCCCAAGGATGGGATGTGCTGGGGGTTGCTTTGTTACCTTGTTTTTGCTGGAACGATGCCCAGGCCCTCTCACAGGCTGAACAGTATTCCCCTCTGAGCTGCACCCCAGCCCCATACTAGATGAGTGGGCTCCACAGGGTACCCACTCACGCTATGGAACATTGCTCAGGTGTGCATCTGTGATATGGCTGTTTTTCTGTTTAGCACAGTAGTAGTAGTTTTTTGCCAGTCCTGGGGCTTGAACTTAGGGCCTGGGCACTGCTCCTGAGCTTTTGTTCAAGGCTAGCATTCTACCACTTGAGCCATAGCACAACTTCCAGCTTTTTCTGTTTATGTGGTACTGAGGAATCGAACCCAGGGCTTCATGCATGCTAGGCAAACACTCTACCACTAAGCCACAGTCAATATTATTTTTTCTTGGTGGCAGTACTGGGGCTTGAATTCAGGGCCTGAAGCTCTTGTCTTTTTCTCTCAAAGCTTGTGCTCTACCACTTGAGCCACAGCCAAAGCTCTGGCTTTTTGGTGGTTAATTGAAAATGAGAAACAGATTTTTCTACCAAGGCTGCTGTCAAACTGTGATCTTCAGATCTCAGCCTCTTGAGTAGCTGGGATTACGGGCATGAGCCACCAGTGCCTGGCAAGACATATTTCAATAAAGATTAAAATCTTACCTTAAAACAAAAGGACATATTTTATATAAAAACCACTAAAGAGAAAACAGTGATAGGATGCACTCACCCCAGCAGAAAAATCTAAGGAGCTAGGAGCCGGCAGCTCGTACCTCAAATCCTACCTACTCAGGAGGCTGAGATCTCAGAATCATAGTTTGAAGCCAGCCCAGGCAAAAAAGTCTAAGAGACTCTTATCTCCAATTAACCACCAAAAAAAGCCAGAAGTGGTGCTGTGGCTCCAGTAGTAGAGCACTGTCCTTGAGCACAAAAGCTGAGGACAGTGCCCAGGCCCTGAATTCAAGCCCTAGTACCAGCCTGAAAGAAAAAAGGAGGCCCAACCACATGGGTCCTCAGACACCTCACCTTTCTGGGGACCACCACTCCTGTCCCTCACAAAATTGACATAATCCCAGTGAAAACACACTGCAGCTGTTCAAGGTCATTGAGCAGAACAGAAGAGCAAATCACAGCAGGAACCCTGAGGGTGGCAGGGAGGTGGGGCATGACTCACTGTGGGGTTGGTACTGCAAGCAGACAGGCCTGAGGAGGAAGCAGGAAGTCCACACACAGAATAGTGTGTGTGTGTGTGTGTATAAAAGAGTGCGTGTGTGTGCGTGCACGTGTGTACTCAAGGCCTCAGCTCAAGACTGGTGCTCTACCACTTGAGCCACACTGACCCTTCTGGCTCTCTGCTGGTAGCTGAGAGGTGAGACCTCTGCTGGAGGTGATCACGACTCTTGGATTTGTCCGCCTGGGCTGGCTTCAAACTTTGATTTTCAGATCTCAGCCTCCTGACTAGCTCGGATTACAGGTGTGAGCCATAGGATCCCAGCTAGAAAGTAGCTCCTGAACTCTACAACAAGCACATATGGACCACTTCCTATATAAATCAAGCATTCCCACACCGGTTGTGTACAATAAGCACCTGCTGGACATGGTATTTAGAAACCTCTGAGGGGAGTGTAGTTATGGAGATGGGAGGGCAGAGATAGTAGAGGAAAAACAAAGGAGGAGGCAACAATGCTTGGTAAAAATCCGGGTGCCAGTGGCTCACGCCTGTAATCCTAGCTACTCAGGAGGCTGAGATCTGAGGATCAAGGTTCAAAGACAGCCCAGGCAGGAAAGCCTGTGAAACTCTTATCTCCAATAAACCACTAGAAAACTAGAAGTGGTGCTGTGGCTCAAGTGGTAGAACGGTAGCCTTGAACTAAAGAGCTGAGGGACAGCTCTCAGGCCCAGAGTTCAAGGCCCACAACAGACAAAAAAAGAAAAGAAATGTACTTATTACTTTGTTCATGTAATTGTAACCCCTCTGTACAGCATTTTCACAACAACAACAAAAACATTAAAAACAACAACAAACTCTGAGCCAGGTACCAGTGGCTTATACCTGTCGGATCTACTCAGGAGACTGAGATCTGAGGATGGAGGTTCAAAAAGCCAGACTCTGAGACTCTTATCTCCAATTAAGCACCAAAAAAGTCGGAAATGGTGCTGTGGTGCAAGTGGTAGAGCACCAGCCTTGAACAAAAGAGCTCAGGGACGGCACCCAGGCACTGAGTTCAAGCCCCAGGACTGACAGAGAGCGGGGGGTGGGGAGGGGGGACTCTGGGCACAGCAAAAGTAACAGAGGCTACGTTACAGTACACGTGGCCATCAGGATGAGGTCTGCATCACCGAGGGCCGATGCCCTCCATATACAAAGGATTTCTAAAAACAGAATAAGATCAGAAGCTCTGTAGAGCAAGAAGAAAAGAACAGTTCTCAGAAAGTAAAATGCAGCCAGGCATGGTCCTTACATCTGTAATCCCAGCACTCGGGAAGCTGAGGCAGGGGGATCATGAGAGGTTTTCTTTGTTTTTACCTTTTATATCAACTTTATTCTCAAGAGCCAACCTGGGTGAGTTAACAAGCTCCCACACTGCCAACTCTTGTGGGAATCACATTCCTTCTTATATGTACCATTGAGTTCTGGATTGCAAAAGAAGACTTACTGTTTGCAGCTGTCTGTAAAGGCTTTGCCACAAATTAAAGAGACACACAAGTTCTAAAGATCATGAGTTTCAAGGCCAGCCTGAGCTATGAACACCAACCCTGTCTCAAAAAAAAAAAAGAAAAAGCTGGGCACTGTGGTTCATGCATGTATGTAACATGCATGTAATCCTAGCTACTCAGGAGGCTGAGATCTGAGTACCACGGTTCAGGTTCAAAGCCAGCCTGAGTAAGAAACTCCATGAGAGTCTTATCTCCAATAAACTACTCAAAAAAGCTAGAAGCAGCACTGTAACTCAAGTGGTAGAGTGCTCATCTTGAACAAAAGAAGCTCAGAGACAGTGCCCAGGCCCAGAGTTCAAGCCCCGGGACCAGCAAAAAAAAAAGGGGGGGGAATGAAAAAAATGAAGGAAGAAAAGGAGGAAAAGAAGGAAGGAAAGAGGGAGGGAGGGAAGGGGAAAGGGAAAGGAGAAAAGGAAGGGGGAAAGGAAATGGAAGGATCTGGAAGAATCTGGCTGTAGGAAACAGGTGGACAGGAGGGAGAAGATGGGCCTTTCTGAAGACAGGTGGATTTGTAGACCCAACTTTGGGACTGTATAAACATCTGGACGATTAATTAGGTGGCCGGATGATTAATTAGTGATTGCTGGTGCTGGCTTCCTTTGGGCTACTTGAGAACCTTCTGGAATTAGAGAGTTAATGATGGTTACACAGCTCCAAGTAACATCCAGCGAACTTAATGCGTTTTGTGGTCTCTGAGTCTAACACGGAAGCGGCACAAGTGAGAACACGGGGAGTGGAACTCCAGGGAGAGTTTCCAAGGCGGCTCACCACAGCGCAGCCTGCCTCCTGAGGGTACCCCGCTTTCTCAGGCACTGCCCTGGCTCCCCAGGCTCCTGCCCTCACCACGCACCCCTCCATCTGGGGCCTAGATGTCACCTCTCATCTTTGCCCCCCCCGACCCAGAGTTCTTTGCAGTCTCTGACCTCACCGTCCGGGTGGGGGCTCAAGTCAGGCTCCAGTGACCTCTTAGAAGCAACACACGCACACACACACACACACACACACACACACACACACACACACACACACAGATACTGAAATCTGACCCCCAGTAGCTAGGACTTGACGTTATTTGGGAGGAAGCTTGGTGATCTTGGGGAAGGGAAGAGGCCTCCTCTCTCAATGACCAGCAGAGTCAGAGACTAAGACAGACCCCCAGGGAGGGGCTGGAAGGCTCTCCCTGGAGCCCTGGCAAGGGCAGAGCTGGGGTCTGAGGCCATAGAGCAGACTCAGGGCTCCCTGCTGCCCTGAGGCTGCAGCCAGGAGGGGCCAAGCTGGCTGCTCTGCTCACTTTCTTGTTTTTTTTCAGTTGGTAGTGGGACTTGAACTCAGAGCTTTTGGTGCTGAGCTTTTGTTTTTGTTTTTTGGTCCTGAGCTTTCTGTTTAGCTAGCGCTCTACCACCTGAACCACAGCTCTACTTCCAGTTTCCTGGTGGTTAATTGGAGATAAGAGTCTCAGAGACTGGGAATGTGGCTTAGTGGTAGAGTGCTTGCCTAGCATGCATGAAGCCCTGGGTTCAATTCCTCAGTACCACATAAATAGAGGTGGTAGAATGCTAACCTTGACCAAAAAAAGCTCAGGGACAGTGCCTAGACCCTGAGATCAAGCTCTAGGACTGGCCCATGCACCCACCCATCCACATCTACCCCCCACGCCCACCCCACACACAGACTTTCTTGCCCAGGCTGGCTTGGAACCTCAATCCTCAGATCTTAGTCTCTTGAGTAGCTAGGATTACAGGTGTGAGCCACCAAAGCCCTCTTGCTCTGCTCACTTCTATCCAGCATGTGGACCCCAAAATGTCTGGGGAGGGAGGAGGTGTGCTTGTGGGGTGTGTGTGGGGACAAGGCTCACGGAGGGGAAGTGGGCACAGCCAGGCTGGGCCCCCACTGCCACACTGGCCTTACCTCCCGCAGGGGCGCATTTAGCTCGCCCAGGATACTGTCCTCGTCGAACATTTTGCCCTGGTAGCGGTGTTCATAGTAGTCGTGGATCTTCTGGCGGAAGTCGGCAGGCAGCTTGTGGAAGGACATATACTGCTCCACTTGCTTGTACTGTAGCGAGAGGAATGAGGAGGGGTCAGCAGCCAGCGGCGAGAAGCAACCCCAGCTGCCTGACCCAGGGGGCTGCTGACCTAGCAACAGCACTGAATACACGGTTTTGTGTTGTTTTGGTTGGTTGTGGGGCTTAAACTCAGAGCCTGGGCACCGTCCCTGAGCTTCTTTTGCTCAAGACTGGCAGTCTACCACTTGAGCCATACCTTCAGTTCCAGATTTTTTTTTTTTGTTGGTCATGGGGCCTGAGCACTGTCCCTCAGTTCTTCAGCTCAAGACCAGCACTCTACCACTTGAGCTATAGCACCACTTCCGGTTTTCTGGTGGTTTATTGGAGAAAGGAGTCTCACAGTCTTTCCTGCCCGGGCTGGCTTCGAACCGAAATCCTCAGATCTCAGCATCCTGAGTAGCTAGGATTACAGGCGTGAGCCACCAGTGCTGGGCACAAGTTCCGGATTTTTAATGGTTAACTGGAGGTAAGAGTCTCATGGACTTTTCTACTGGGGCTGGCTTTGAACCACGATTGTTGAAGATCTCAGCCTCCTGAGTAGCTAGGATTATAGGTGTGAGCCACAGGGGGCTTAAGTGGTTCCTCCCCCCCTCGCCCTCCCTCCCTCCCTCTCTTTTGGGTCAGTGCTAGGGTTTGAACTCAGGGCCCTATGCTGTGACTTGGGTTTTTCTGCCATTCCCCCACTTCCAACTTTTTGCTAGTTCATTGGAATAAGAGTCTCACAGACTTTCCAGCCCAGGCTGATTTTGAACCTTGATCCTCAGATCTCAACCTCCTAGGTAGCTAGAATCACAAGTGTTGGCCATCAGTACCTGGCTCAATATCTTTTTTTTTTGGTCAGTCGTGGGGCCTGGGCGCTGTCCCTCCGCTCTTCAGCTCAAGGCTAGCACTCTACCATTTGAGCCACAGTGCTGCTTCTGGCTTTTTCTGCTTATGTGGTGCTGAGGAATCGAACCCAGGGCCTCATGCATGTGAGGCAAGCACTCTACCACTGAGCCACCTTCCCAGCCCCTCAATATCTTTTAAGTAACAATTCATCAGTAAAATTAAATCTTGATAGTCTGTATTAGCAATAGTAATATTCTAAATAGCAAATACGTTTTCTGTCAGTATTGAGAGTTAAACTCAAGCGATTTTCACTCACAGGTTTGCTCTAACTACTTCAGCCATGCTTCCAGCTTTGGGTTTTTGTTTGCTTGTTTTTTTTGTTGTTATTGTTTTGCTAGTTGTTTTGGAAATGGAATCTCCTAGTCTTTTCTGCCCCAGCTGACCCTTGAACCTCAATCTTCCAGATTTCAGTGAAGTAGTTAGAATTTTAGGTGTGAGCCACTGGCACCTAGCCTCAGTAGCAATTCTCACATATTTAAATTGGCTCAGACACCAGGTGAAATTCTGGTATTGAAGATAATGTAGACACACGACAAAAGTGTCTCGTGTGAGGACACCCAGGCCATGTCTGGGGGAGAGGCTGAGACATAGCTTTTTTGAGAAATCTAAATTAACCATGCTGAGCCTTGTCTAGCAGCCCTGAGCATAGTGTCTACCAGAGAAGACCAGGCCTCCTGCGGAGGGAGGCCGAGGCTCAGGTACCCAGCACAGTGGCCCTATCCTATCCAAAGCCCTACCCTGCCTGGCCTGGCTCCCTTCAGATACTCTTTCCAGAAACCCTCAGTCAGCCCCTCCCAAGCAGGGCTGGGGGTGTGGGTGCCAGGCCCTGCTGTCCCCAGGATGACACCCCAGGGGTGTCCCAGCCCCATATCCGCCCCACCCCGCCCAGCCCCAGCTGCCCTGAGCTCAGTGGAACCCGTGACGCGCAGGCGGGTGGCAGCACCAGCTCATGTTTGGGTGCGAGGCTGTGACTTCCGGACAGCCGGCGCCTGGCACGGGGCCCAGCTAACCCGGCGTCCCGGCTGGCACTGCAGGGGAGGGGGGATGTTTAGGGGCAACTCTCAGCGAGGGCAGCCACCCAGGCAGGACAGACAGAGTGGCCTCTGGAGGGGCCATGCACAGTGTCATCCCCAGAGGGGAAACTGAGGCATGCTATGAACAATGAAGTCACGATCCAGGGGCCCCACAGATATCCAGGTGGACACAGCCCCTAACCTTAAACTGAAGGAGGTCAGGGCTATCTTTCCCCACAGACTCTCCCCACAGACCTTCTCCTGGTACTGGCGCCGCGAGGAATCCAACGACTGGATGAGCGCCGTGGCGTGGCCGATGAACATGGCGTAGCAGGTGGCGCCCACGATCATACTGAGCATGGTGAGCCAGATGTCCGTCATGCTCTCGGGCGCCTGCCGCCCGTACCCGATGCACAGCATGTGGCTCATGGCCTTGAAGAGCGCAAAGGAGTACAGCTCGCTCCACGAGTGGTTCTGCAAAGCCAGGGGTGATGGTTTGGGGGGGCACAGCTGTCAGGAGCCCCCTTGATCCCTGCCCTCCTGCCTTCCTAAAGGAGTGTGGCCGTGAGCTCTCGGGGGCCGGAGGTAATGAGAGAATCACACGCAGGGAGAGGACATGTGTGCTGTGCGGGTCATGGACACAGCAGTCTCACGCCATCCCCCACTGCTCTCCTGGGGACCCTGAGCCCCCATAAGAGCTGGAATCCAACCAGAGCATCTGAGAGGTCAAGAGGACACGAAGCTCCAGAGAGAAGTTTTGGAGGCAGAGCAGCTAAGACACAAGAATCATGCCTGAGGGGCAGTGGGGAGATGGGAGGTCCTGTCGGTCCGCAGGCTCCCCACTCCCCAGTATCCTCAGCTGACCCTGAGGTGGGGGAGGGGGTAACTGGGCTGCGCCAGGAAGTGGAACCGCTTGTGTGGACGGCAGCTGAACAATGGGCCTCTCAGCCAGGGCAGCTGTGCCAGGCGCTGGGGAGGGGCCTGTGGGTTTGTCCTGCACATTGCCTGACCTCCACCTATGCCTGCCTTCTCCTGCTGGGTCCCCACCAAAGCAAGAGGACCCTGGCATGTGCCCCTGGCCCCAGGGTGGGAAAAAGGCTTGCTCTGTGCTACCCAGACTTCACTACTTACAGTCTTTTTGAACCCAAAATCACAAGGCCAGGAAGTATCAAGTGTGTTTATTACTTCTTATGGAGCCTGGGTCCACTTTCACATTTAAGTTAGGCTGGATGAGCATTCTCCATCTCACCCCATAACCCTCTCCCGCTTTTTCGGTCAGTCATGGCACTTGAACTCAGAGCCTAGGCCATGTCCCTGAGCCCTTTTGGCCCAAGGCTAGTGCTCTACCAACTTTGAGCCACCGTTCCATGTCCAGTTTTCTTGTGGTTAATTGGTGAAAAGAGTCTCTGGCATTCCTGCCCAGGCTGGCTGTGAACCGCCATCTTCAGATCTCAGTCTCCTGAGTAGCTAGCCTGAGCCACCAGTACCCCCCACTCCTTTCTTTGTGCCAGTACTGGGGCTTAAACTGCTGGCCCGGCTTTAGCTTTTTCACTTGCTCAAGTGCTGCAATTCTACCACTTGAGCCACAGCTCCACTTTTGGCCTTTTTTTTCTTTCTGGTTAATTGGATGTCAGAGTCTCGTAAACTTTTCTGCTGGGGCTGGCTTTGAACCATGATCCTCAGATCTCAGCCTCCTAAGTAGCTAGGATTAAAAGCAGAAGCCACCTGCCTTGACACCCTGTCAATGAGCATTTTCTTTTCCATAAATGTGTGTAAAGGTAAAAGGAGAGCCAACAGGAGAGCAGCACCCAGCAGGTCTCTGGATGAGAGATGATGGCCACAGGGGTTCAAGGTCCCCAGGGGACCTAATGGGGCACAGAAGTAAGGGGCGGGGCCTGAGTAGGGGAGGAGCCTTCTGGGGCGGGGCCTTATGGAGAGGGGCTTACCACCATCTTGTTGATGGATACCCAGCAGTCACTGGGGAAGTCCTGCAGCATGGGCACCAGGAACTGCAGGCAGCCATCCCAGTGGCACAGCAGCAGCATCATGCTGATGAGGTTGCAGATGCGCATTACTGCGCTTGCCAGGTCATAAGTCATGTGGAAGATCTGTTGGGAGAGGGCTGCTGTGAGGGTCCCAGACTCCCCTAGCCCTGAGATGTGTCCCTGCCCCAGAGGCCTTGTACTCACCACTCCAGGGAAAACCCCCCAAATCTCCTCCAACCCCTCCAATTCTGGCTCCCACCAGGGACCCCTAAATTTTTTTTTCTCTCTTTTTTTAATTCTCCCAGTCTGGTGGCTTGAATTGGATGAACTCAGGGGCCTGAGTTCTGTCCCTGAGCGTTGTAGCTCAAGGCTAGCATCAATAAGGGTCTAATAAACTTTCTTACCTGGGCTGGCTTGGACTGTAGTCCTCAGATATAAGCCTCTAGAGTAGCTAGGATTACAGACATGAACAACCAGAGTCTGGCTTAAATCTGTGTGTGTGTATGTTTGTGTGTGTGTGTGTGTGCACACACGTGTGCACACGCCAATCTTGGTGTTTGTACTTTTTTTGTATTTTATTTTTTGCCAGTCCTGGGGCTTGAACTCAGGACCTGGGCTCTGTCTCTGAGCCTCTCTGTGCTCAAGGCTAGTGCTCTACCACCTGAACCACAGCACAACTTCAGGTTTTTTCTGTTTATGTGGTACTGAGAAAATGAACCCAGGTTTAGGGTCAGAGTCAGAGTTAGGGTTAGTGCATGCCAGGCAAGCACTCTACCATTAAGCCACATTCCCAGCCCCTCCCTGAGATTTTTTTTTTCTTTTTGTGGGTCATGGGGCTTGAATCTGAGCTGTCCCTGAGCTCTTCAGCTCAGCTCAAGTCTAGCGCTCTACCATTTGAGCCACAGTGCCATTTCTGGTTTCCTGGTGGTTTATTGGAGATAAGAGTTTCTCGGCAGGGCTGGGAAGGTGGCTCAGTGGTAGAGTGCTTGCCTTGCATGCTTGAGGCCCTGGGTTCGATTCCTCAGCACCACATAAGCAAAAAGAAAAAAGCTGGAAGTAGCGCTGTGGCTCAAGTGGTAGAGCACTAGCCTTGAGCTGAAAAGCTGAGGGACAGCGCCCAGGCCCACAGTTCAGGCCCCACGACTGGACCCAAAAAAAAAAAAAAAGAGTTTCTCGGCTTTTTCTGCCCAGGCTGGCTTTGAACCGCAATCCTCAGGTCTCAGCCTCCTGAGTAGCTAGGATTACAGGTGTGAGCCATCCATGCCCGGCTTCCCTGATATATATATATATATTTTTTTTTTTTTTTGGTCAGTCATGGGGCTTAAATTCTAGGCCTGGGTGCTTTCCCTGAGCTCTTCAGCTCAAGGCTAGCACTCTACCACTTAAGCCACAGTGTCACTTACGGCCTTTTTGTTTATGTGGTGCTGAGGAATCGAACCCAGGGCCTCATGCATGCTAGGCAAGCACTCTACCCCTGAGCCACCATCCCAGCCCCCCCTGAGATTTTTTTTTTTTAAGCTCAAGTCACTGGGTGCTGGTAGCTCACATCTGTAATCCTAGTTCCTTAGGAGGCTGGGCTGAGAATGGTGGTTCAAAGCCAATCCAGGCAGGCAAGTCCATGAGGCTCTTACCTCCAATTAATGACAGAAAAAGCCAGAAGTAGCACTGTGGTTCAAGTGGTAGAGTGCTAGCCTTGAGCTAACAGAACAGTGAGCTCAGGCGTTCAAGCTCCAGGACTGACCAAAAAACCCAAAAACAAACTTGAAGGCTAGTGCTCTACTTCTTGAAGCAATAGCTCCACTTTTGTCTTTTCGGAGATAAGAGTCTCAGGAACTTTCCCTCCTTAGGCTGGCTTTGCAGATCTCACCCTCTCTCTCTCTTTTTTTTTTCTGGTTGGTCGTGGGGCTTGAACTCTGGGCCTGGGTGCTGTCCCTCAGCTCTTCAGTTCAAGGCAAGTGCTCTACCACTCGAGCCACAGCGCCACTTCTGGCTTTTTTCTTTTTGCTTATGTGGTGCTGAGGAATCGAACCCAGGGCCTCATGCATGCAAGGCAAGCACTTTACCACTGAGCCACCTTCCCAGCCCTTCTCCCTCTCTTGAGAAGCTATGATTACAGGTGTGAAACACAACCACTGGACTCAACCTGGCTTTTGAACCCAAAATCACACCCTATGATCTCCTCTCAGACCCTGAATACTTTCCCTAACTCAGGGCCTCCCCTACCATGCAACCTTGCCAACTGCTTGGTGCCCAATCTTGAGCCCTTGTAGCCCCTACCCAACCCCCGAAGCCTCCATAACCAGAGGCTTGGCCCACATTTGAAATTCCATAGTCCCTGCCCCTCACCTTCTCCAACTGGTGGAGGTAGCGGATGAGCCTTGACAGGCTCCCAGGAGACACCACGACTTAAGTCCCTGCCTACCTGCGACTCCACCACTCCTTCCCGCCCCCAAGAAGCCCTGCCCACACTCGAGGCCCCATCCCTCCCAGTCCTTACCTCCTCCCACTGGTGAATACAACAGAGGAAACTGTATAGGCCCCAAGGCCACGCCCACCCACGAGTCCCCACCCACTTACGGCCCCGCCCCACCTTCACCTCCTCCCACTGGTGGATGTAGCGGATGAGCCTGGAAGGCCCCGCCCATCCACGAGTCCCCGCCCCCTTACAGCCCCGCCCCGCCTTCACCTCCTCCCACTGGTGGATGTAGCGGATGAGCCTGGACAGACGCAGCAGCCGCAGGAGGCTGAGGATCTTGGTGAAGCGAACGATGCGCAGAGCACGCGCCGTCTTGTAGACCTCGGAGTCGATGCCTTTCTCCACGATGAGGAAGATGTAATCCACGGGTATGGATGACACAAAGTCCACTACGAACCACGTGCGCAGGTATTTCTTCTTGATCTTCTCTGGGTCCAGGATGATCTCGGTGTTGTCCTCAATCACGATGCCCGTGCGGAAGTTCAGCACCAGGTCCATGAGGAAGAAGGTGTCCGAGACCACGTTGAACACGATCCACGGGGCAGTGGTCTCGTCCTTGAAGAAGGTGATGCCCACAGGGATGATGATAAGGTTCCCCACCATGAACAGCAGCATGGTGAAGTCCCAATAGAACCTGAAGGAAAGAAAGGGAGGCTGGTTCTCACCGCCTGACCTTGGCTCAGGCCGTGACCTCTGCCCTACTGCCTTTCCCAAGAAGGACCCACTGTTTTGGGGCCTCCAACAACTCCCGCCCCCCATTGCAAGCCCATCTTCCTCTCTCTGGCTGACTCTTGACCTTTCCTCACAGTTGCAAAGGGACTTCACAGTTGCTCAAAAATAGATGAAATACCAGCTCAAAGGGAAGAAAAGTAGTTCATGAGACTCCATCTCAGCCAGTGGCTAGGCTTGGTGCTGCATGCTGTCATCCCCACTGACTCTTTGAAACTCTTGTCTCCAATTAATCACAGAAAAAGCTGGAAGTGGCACTGTGGCTCAAGTGCTAGAGCGCTGGCCTTAAGCAAAAGGAGCCTAGGGATAGGTCCAAGGCCCAGAGTTCAAGCCCCAGGACTGGCAAAAGAGAGAGGAGGGAAGGAAAGAGGGGAAGAGAGAGAGAGAGAGAGCGAGAGACAGAGACACAGACAGAGAAGCAAAGATGCTGTGGCTGGGGAGGTGTGGCTCAAGTGGTAGAGCACCAGCCTTGAGACAAAAAGCTAAGGGATTGTAACCAGGCCCTGGGTTCAAGCCCCAGTACTGGTGGCACCAAAAGCAAAAAGAAAAAAGAAAGAAAAAATAGAAAGGAAAAGGGCAAAGAACAAGAGAGAAAGTGTCCATGGAGGACAGAGAGGAAGACCAGGCAGACAGAGGCGGGGCCTGTGCTGGCACAGAATGACCAATGAAGGCTGGGAAGAACGGTTCACAACTTGGCAACTGTTTGGACATTTAATATAATAAGTAAACTCAAAAGTGATGACAGGTTACTTCCATGCTCAAGCACACCCAGGCAGATCCACCTCCCAAGTCAATTCCCAAATTCCTCCTGGGAAGCACCAGCAGAAGTGGGCCATCCACCCAGGGATGGCTATTGATGGGCAGGCACCTGGCTGTGAATGAGCGATCTCCCTACAGGGACCAAGGCCACATGGATAGATGCTCAGCCCTCAGTTATTGAGAAAATGCAAGTAAAACCTCCCTAGGGGACAACTGAAGGTTCCTCAAAAAGTTAAATGCAGCATACTGCAGGACCAGCAGACAGTGTTTGAGAATTGAGGCCAAGCATAACAAATCTGCACCCCCCCATATACACAACAGGTGGCTCCCAGGAGCCAGGAAGCAGAGACAGCCAGTGTCTACCAATGGACGAATGGACACACAGTGTAGATGCCCCCCTCATCTACACTGGGGCATCACACAGCTGTGAACAGAAGGAGCTCCTCCCCATCTACAGCATGAGGGACCTTGAAGACAGGGTGTTCAGTGAGAGAGGTGGACTGCTGTCCACAGACAGGAAGGATTTATGGGAACGAGGGACTGGGTGACTGCTCATGGGAACAAGCTTCCTTTTGGATGATGGAATGTTCTGGAGATGGATGGTAATAATTGCACAATAAAGCCAATTGTGATAATTGCACAATAATGCTAATGTACTTAGTGCCACTGGACTATACACGGTAAAATGGCAAAGTGGAAAATTTTATGAGACATGAATTAGTTATAACATTAAAAAAAAAAAAAAGCTCTTAGCCTGGTGCCAAATGGCTCGTGCCTATAATCCTAGCTACTCAGGAGGCTGAGATCTAAGAATTGCAGTTCAAAGCATCCTAGGCAGGAACCAAAAACCCAGAAGTGGAGCTGGCTTAAGTGGGAGAGGAAAAAAAAAAAGCTCCAGATAGCGTGAAGGCCTTGCCTGAATTCAAGCTCTAGGCCTGGCATCCCCCTCCCCACCAAAAAATGGTCTAATTCTAAGCCCCCTACCTCCTGTAGATATAGGCAAAGGAAGGTCTCAAATTTCAAGCACTGGGGCTGGCTGGGATGTGGCTTAATGGCTTAACATGAAGAGGCCCTGGTTCTATCCTCAGCACTATAAAAATAAAAATGAAATAAATGAGCCATGAGCACCCAGGCACTGAATTCAAGCCCCAGTGCCAGCAACAAACAAACAAATAAATAAAGCAACCAGCTTATGTTGGCACACATCTGTAAGCCTGGCACTTGAAGTACAAGGACAGCCTATACTACATAAACTATTTAAAGACAGTGGGAAAAAAAGTACTAAAAATATAGAGTCTTAGCCAGGTGCCAGTGACTTAATGCCTGTAATCCTAGCTACTCAGGAGACTGAGGTCTGAGGATTACAGTTCAAACCCAGCCCGGGCAAGAAAGTCCATGAGACCCTTATCTCCAATAAATGACTCAGAAAAAGCCAGAAGTGGCACTGTGGCTTAAGTGGCAGAGCACTGGCTGTGAGCACAGAGAGGCTCAGGGACAGCACCCAGGCCCTGAGTTCAAGCCCCAGTACCAGCAAAAAATAAATAAAAATAAAAATATATAGTCTCAGTCAGGTTCTGGTGGCTCACGCCTATAAGCTTAGCACTTGGGAGGCTTGAGATCTGAGGATAGCCAGCCTGGGCAAAAAAGTCTATGAGTCTCTCATCTCCAGTTAACCACCAGAAAACAGGAAGTGGTGTTGTGGCTCAAAGTGATAGAGTGCTGGCTTTCATCTACAAGGCTCAGGGACAGCACCCAGGCTCTGAGTTTAAGGTCTACAACTGACAAAAAAGAAAGAAGAAAAAAAATACTTAGTCTTTGCTGGGTTCCAGTGGCTCACACCTGTAATCCTTAGCTATTCAGGAGGCTGAGATCTGAGGATTATGATTCGAAGCCAGCCCAGGCAAGAAAGTCCATGAGACTATTCAAGTAAGCACCAAAAAGCTGGAAGTGGAGCTGTGCTTCAAGTGGTAGAGAGCTAGCTTTGAGCAATAAAACTTAAGGACTGGACTGGGAATGTGGCTTAGTGGTAGAGTGCCTGCCTAGCATTCATGAAGCCCTGGGTTTGATTCCTCAGTACCATATACACAGAAAAAGCTGGAAAGTGGTAGAGTGTTCAGGGACAGTGCTCAGGCCCTGAGTTCAAGCCCCAGGACTGGTCAAAAAATAAACAACTTAGGGACAGCACCCAGGCCCTGAATTCAAGCCCCAAGACTGGCACCAAAAATTATATATACATACACACACACACACACATATATATATATATATACACATATCTATATCTCTATCTATCTATATCTCTCTCTCTCTCTATATATATATACATATGTCTCACTAAACACTATGTTGAAAACCAACTATCCAACTTGTATGTGGGGATGGGAGGGAAAAACTGGGAGAGAGCAAGGGAAAGGGTGACATTGTCCAAAAAGGAATGTACCCCTTACCTGACTTATGTAACTGTAACTCCCCTGTACATCGAAGAACCAAATTTTTGGTCCTTAAATTCTCCCACTCCAGATATGCCCTCTCAGTGATCTTAAAGTCTTGTCCCTACCAGATGGGTGGGTGGGTTTGTCCTGGGGCCCAGCTCCTGCCATTTTCCTCAAGAGGAGTCAGGCTGAGGGATCTGCCCAAATCAACTCAAATGAGTAAGAAGGAAGTATTTGAGGACAGGGCACCTCCCAGCAGCTGCAAATTGGCTCTTTCTGCTGGACAGGGCACAGCTACTAACACCACGCCTCCGGCCACAGCGTTCCACTTCGGGGAATTGATCTCAAGGAAATTGTCCAAAGCGGAGAAAAAAAAAATTGTTTTAAAGTGATTTGTACTGGGATGTTCGTGGCAGCTGTGTCTGACAGGGCCAAGGGCTGGATGGGATCCAATCCCTCCAGTCCCGGTGGTATAAGCCAGGCCCAGCTGGCACCTGCTCACTTCAGGAGTGACCTTGGACTGAGCTCCTCCAGCCCCTAGGAACCTCAGTCTCCTTTCTTCAGCCTTCATAGGGTGCAAACTTCTTGGTGAAGATGTGGGGGCTCTTGGCTGTGGTGAAGAGGCAGCCAGTCCCAATGGATATCCCCACAAACTCACCCAGGTGGGGGATAAGATCTCAAGAGAACTGAGAGGGGGTCCCCCAAACTTCAGGGTCAAAATTGAATGACTACTCAGCCAGGCACAGATGGCTCACACCTGTCATCCTAGCTACTCAGGAGGCTGAGATCGGAGGATCTCAGTTCAGAGTCAGCTGAGGCAGAAAAGTCTGTGAAGACTCTTACCTCCAATTGACTTACCCACGGCCCTCCAAAAAAAAATCCAGAAGTAAAGCGGTAGAGCACTACCTCTGAGCAAACAAACTCAGGGGCAGTATCTAGGCCCCGAGTTCAAGCCTCAGGACTGGTATACGTATACACACACACACACACACACACACACACACACACACACACACACACACACACACACACACACCACTAAACCATTGTTCAAAATCCCAGAGCTTCCTCTGTCTGCATGTGGACAGACTGGCTGGCTTAGGTCTGGTGTGGGGCAGTGACGGCCCAGTGACCCCCAGGGCCCCAGCGCTGACAGGACTGAGCCGTCCACCTGCCTGCCGCACCCCCACACCACTCCCAGAATCCACTGGATGGCTCCTAATCCCCACTTTCCCCTCTCTGGACCAAGGCCTGCCCTCCCTTTGGAGTATAAGAAATGAGCCAAAACAAACAAGAAAGAGCAACCAAAGGCTGGAGGCATGGCTGAAGTAGAACAACAGCTGCCCAGCAAAACAGAGGCTCTGAGTTCAAACCCTAGGACCACCACCAAAAACCAAAACCAACAAACCAAAAGGCCAAGGGGCCTGGAAACCAGCAGGACCTCGAAACCAGAGGAAAGGCCTCTGTTTAAGTCCTGCACCCCACTTTCTGCCTAAGCCCCTCTGTTCTTGCCAACCAGCTTGGTCCCAATGGAAAGTCACAAAAAAGGGGGTGACATGAGTGCTTAATCAGAGGACACTGAAGCCAGGGGCAGAAGCGGCCCCAGGGTACCCACCAGCACCCTGCCTGTCCCCAGACAGCGATGTGTACACTCACCCTGATCCTCCTCTCCTGGGCTGTACAGTTCATTGTCTCTGTGCCTTGGTGCTTTGCC